AAGTTATTGATTAGTTTGAATACTGGCACTTACTGGATTTCATTAATTTAGCAGTGTTTCAAATTACCTTAGTGCTTCCAAAAAACCAATCAAATTGTGCCCAGAATTCTTATCCGGATTAATCGGTACACTTCTTCATTCTGTTTTCTGTCCGTCTTATTGGGTGTAAGTGGATCTCTGTGGATGTTGGATATGAGAAAAGATGCAGGTGGAGGTGCACACATTCTCACACATTATCTCAAGCACACACATACACACAAACTCCATCATGTGTACCCATATGTATGTATGCACTCATATGCATATAAGTGCATATACATGGCTATGCAAGCAGAAGCATATACACATACATGTAAACTAGCACACAATCCCAAATGAAAGCATATTTGTGCACATGTAAACACACAATCATATGCACACACACATACACAAGGGCAAAGGAGTATACATGCAAACACACATAATATACACATGTCTATTCATACATATATGCAGACACATGGGAATATTAAAACTCACACATATTTGTACAAATTCATGTGAGCACATACATATACACCATCATATACATTGAGATATACACACAAGCACATACATATTACCTGCTCATATATAGTCTCATGCACACACTGATGAGCACACTCACATAGGGACACAACACACACACATACAAATAAGCTCACCCAAATGCACACCCAAGCTCACGCATACCCACGAATGGGCACACATAAATCCAATCACCTACGCAAAAACATACATACACTTACAAACACATCTGTACACACTTACAAATGCATGCACATTCATGTATCCACAATCACACATATGTCCAAATACATGTAACCAAATGAGTTTATAAACATGCACATATAAACTTCCATACGCACACACTTGATATAAAAAACAAAGCAAATGTGAACAGATGCACACAAGCACATCCTCACAAGCACATTCAAATAGTGTCACAGAAATTCACTGACACCTAGATAGCACACATATATTTGAATGTTTTAAAATTCAATCTCATGTGCAAATATACACAAAATGCATACATATGCACACAGACAATCACATTCATGTATATGTGAACTCTGAAAAGACGCAATTACACATTAGCACATACGCTCAAAAGCACATAAGTGCACAGTCACATGAGAATAAATGCATAAAAACACTAGTCACACATGCAAATCACACACAATTATGCACATGCATGTGCAAACCTGCACATATAAGCACACACAATTATGTGGAAACTCATATGCAGCCAGTCACAAATACCTGCCTGTTTGTACATATTCCACTTCACAAGCATGCACACACATTCATGTAATAAACACATTTACACAATGCACACACCCAAACTTGAAGCCATGCATGCATACATACACAGTCTGTCACACTTTGTCACAATCACATACACAAATGTATACACACGTGTACACACATGCACAGTAAATACATACACACAAGCACACATGCACACACCTAAGGACACTCACATTTGCACATACTCTCACAAGTATACAAGTCCATACACATATATACACATCTACACACATACCACACACACCTGTCAAATGGACAACACTGACCATCACAGCACCAAAGATAAACCACAGCTCAGGGCGTTGTTTACAAAAACCACTCCTTCCCCAGTCTTAGGCTGCACTTGAACTCAGCTTTCTCCAACCTTGGGACCCGTGAGAAATGACTATTTGCTGTTTAAACACCTGCACACAATGCAGAGATCAACAGATCTTGGGGAGCCTGACCTCTGTGGATGCATGCATTTACATCATAGCTCCTGCATCTACAGCTCAGGGGACATCAAGCCTGGGGGAGGGGGGAGCTAAGAGTCAGAATACCAAGAAGTCTGTTGTGGAAAAATCTCTTCTACAAATAGCTGCATGAACAAGCCTGGAACAATGGCAACATCAATGGACATTTATCATAGTTAGGGTTATTACTGCTGTGATAAAACACCATGAGCAAAAGCAAGTTGGGGAGAAAAGGGTATTTGGCTTATCCTTCCACACTTACAATTACTGAAGGAAGCCAGGGCAGGAACTCAAATAGGGCAGGAACCTGGAGGAAGGAGCTGATTCAGAGACCATGGGTGGGTGCCGCTTCTTGGTTTGCTCTTCATTGCTTGCTCAGCCTGCTTTCTTATAGAACCCAAGACCACGGGCCTGAGGTGACACTGCTCACAGTCACTAATTAAGAAAATGCCCAACTGGCTTGCCTACAGCCCAAACTCATGGAGACATTTTCTCAATCAAGGGTCCCTCCTCTCAGAAGGCTATAGCTTGTGTCAAAACTAGCCACCACAACAAATATGCCAATGTGGAAGGCGGAATATTTCACAGTTCCACACCTAGACAAAGAGCCACAGGCAACTAATGACTATGGGTGTCGAATTAGCCTCTCCCAGGAAAGAACCCTTATTGGTTGCCAAATGCAGTTGTCCAATGAAGAGTGGTCAACTTTGGAACCATATAAACATCATCAACAAAAACGGGCTTAGCAGATTGTATTTTCATGTGCTTGTGCGTGCACAAGCAAACATACACACACACACACACACACACACACACACATATATATATATATAACAATAATGATCAAAGAAAAGAAGTGATCAACGTGAGAGTAGAGTCGGGGGGGAGTATGGGAGGGGTTTGAGATGGAACAGCTGGGAAGGGACTGAAGGGAGGAATGGGAACAGGGACAGCGATATAGTTCTATTTCAATTAAAACCATACTTTAAGTTGTTTTAAAAACAGCTATCTGCTGTTTAATACACTCAACCTGTGTTGTTTTGTTATAACAACCCGAGCTGACTAACACAGTCCTGTTCTTCAGAGGTAGGGAGAACAGGCTTTGACATCCCATATAAGGAAGCACAGGAAAAGATATAAACCGACCTCTGCATCTTGCTCCAGGCAGCCCACAGACAATGAGGCTGAAAGCTCATCCTAATACCAAAGCCCTAGGCCTTTCCTCTTCTCTCATATTTTTCATACCATAAAAAATGACTTCAAACTGTGTGTATGTGGGGGGGGGGTGCCTATAATTTCAGCACCTAAACAGGAGGGCAATAAACTCTAGGTTATCCCTGGCTACATAAAATTACCCTTTCTCAAGAAAAAAACAGAGACAAAACAGGCAGGACAGTCATTGCATGCTTGTAACTCCAGTGCAGAGGAGGCAAAGAGGATCCCTGGGGCTCGCTGTCCATCCTGTCCAATTGAAGTGAAGAGTGAGACCCTGCCTCAAAGAATAATGTGGAGAGTGGTAGAAAAAGACAATGTCAACCTCTAATCTTCACACTTGCGTGTGTACATACATGTAAACAAGTATGTATACACGCATGGACACACAAAAGCAATAAAGAAAAAAGGAATATACAGGAGCAGTACCTGGAGGGGAAAAGCCTTGTAAACAGACAAAACAGAATACTAAAACAAGGCAAGATTCTGCCCACTCCACACTTTAGAGTCATCTGTCATCTTCATGACTCCACCCACCCCCTACAGGAAGCCAGGCCAACAGGCAGCTGCAGACCCCACCTCTGCAGAGCTGGCTTCCATTCCACAGTGCATCTGCCAAGAAGATGTGCCAACTCTGAGTCATGGGGAAGAGGAGCTGGCAGTGGCACGTTGTGGCTCAGACACTGGGCAGGGAGAGTACTGCATCAGGACACCATCCAGAAAGTCCCCTTGACACAGGAGAAGACATATGTAGGAAGGCATATTCCACAGCAGTGAAGAGACAACTTGTTAGAATAAAAGGATCCTAGGACATTGGAAGAGGATTTGTCCAAAACACATTTCTAAGTGAAGTCTGGATTAAAGAGAAGGTAGAATCTACCATAGACTCCGGGGTATCTTCTCATTGCATAGGTCAGGGCTCTAAACACTTCGACGTGCGACTTACCAGGTCTGTCACTGTGTAGTCCTTTCACTAAGATGACCCTTTCACAAAAGCAGAAGGCAGAAAAGTGGAAGGAAATGGAGACAGCCACAGGGGAGACACAAGAAACAGCAGAGGGAAAGGGACCTATAGCAAACCATAGTGAAATAAGATTATAGGTCAGAGGTAGAAAGTTTGCCTAAGGTATCTGAGACCCTAGGTCCAATGCCAAGCAACTTAAGCTTAATGCTATATATGTATCCCATACATAAATACCATTAAATATTTCACATATACAACATAAAAGACAATGGTAGGGCATAATGAAGCCCATTACTTACATGCCATGACTGAAAAATATAATAGAAAAAAAAACAGGGATTAAAGTGCAGCTCAGTTGGTAGAGTGCTTATCTAGAATGCCTGAAGCCCTGGATTCAATTCCCGACATGACATAAACTAGCTGTGGTGGTACATGCCTATAATCCCTGCACTTGGCGGGGTATAAGGGAGGGGTGGAGACAGAAGGACCTGACATTTAAGGTTATTCTCTATTGTGCAAAATTCTTTGTCTGAAAAAAGCATGTCCCCTCTCTGTGTAGCTACAGGACAACAGGACCTTGCCTCATCTGTGTAACTTGACAACAAGATGCTGGTGGTGGTGCTGCTGTTGCTGCTGGTGGTGCTGGTAGTGTGGCGGCGGTGATGATTTTAGTGATGCTGAAGAACTAAAGTAAAAATTAATAAAATTTATCTGGGTAGTAGTGGTACACCCCTTTAATCCCAGCACTCAGGAGGCAGAGGCAGGTGGATCTCTGTGAGTTCAAGGCCAACCTGGTTTACAAGAGCTAGTTCCAGGACAGACTCCAAAGCTACAGAGTAAACCCTGTCTCAAAAAAAAAAAAAAAAAAAAAAAACAAGAAAAAAATAACACACACACACACACGCACACAAAAAAAAAATTCCAAACTTTGTAGAAGAAAGGTTCTGGAATACCTTTATTGTTGCTAAAACCAGGTACTAGTCCTAACAAGCTGAAGTTCTTAAAAAAAGAACTGGCAAAGATAATATTAGTAACACTGTTATTCTCACACGTGACTTAATGTGGGGTGGAGCAGCATCAGGACTCAGGGAATCTTCCAATTCTGTTGCTTGACTGCTGAAGAACCACCCATCAGTTTGTCCTTCGTGTTGGCTACGTGAAGTACGATGAGCATACCGGAGTCGAGAAGGACACCAGGCCTTAAGCAGCAGCTTCAGCAGGGCTGAATCTATGATTTCAGCTGTGCTGGGGACAAACAGGAAGCAGGTGTCAGGGATTTGCAGAAGGGAGACACTACATCTCACAAGCATTTGGTGGGAGGGGGAGAAGTCTCATTTGAGAATAGCTCAAGGTGATTTCTGTTCGGTTTCCTTTCTCCAGATACTGTTAGTAGCATTTGGAGTAGATAGCGGCAGGTTTCTGTGTTAGCCTTCTATGAACAATTCCAAAAGACAACAGGGATCTGGTATGATAAATCTGTTTTCTGAGGGATCCTGTAGAACTGAGCGACTTATTAAGGCCCGGAAAGAAACATGTGTAAAGTAGAAGAGAGAACAAATGTTGAGGATCTCACGCTACTGGATTCAGAGGAATTAAGCTACAGCATTCAAACACTGTGTGTTGTGTTTTTTATTTTGTTTTGTTTTGTGTTGAGATAGGATCTCATGTAGCCCAGGCTAGTTTTGAACTTGTTATGTAGCTAAAAAACGACCCTTAGTTTTTGACTGTGCTGCCTTCATCTTCTACACCTTCTGAGTGTCGGGTTATAGTTGTGCACACAGCTCCCAGTTTTACTCAGTGCCTGAGATCAGACCCAGAACTTCCTGCGTGCCAGTCAGGCTCTCTACCCAGACTAAGCTACTCCCACAGCTCTCATTCTAGGGTCTTACAGCCGACCTCTTACCCATTGTGAGACTGAGCAGCTCAATGCTTCAGTGAGCATCCACATTCTGAAAGGTTTCCCAGGACTTACTTAGCTTTGAGCTGGACTAGGTCTCTAGTGGGCAGGCTATGGGAAAGAGCCTGCTTAGGACACCCACTGATTCCTCAAGTGCAGGAAGCTGCTGCTGCTGCTGGTCCTGCACCTTTCCACATGGGTTTCCATCCAGAAAGCTGTTAAAGGTGGGAAATGGGAATTAGTACCCAGAGTAATAAAAAAAATGTATCAAGTAATTTGGTTTCATTTACTAGAGAGAGAAGAAAAGAGAAGAGAGAGATAGTTTTAAGAGAGGAGATATTAAAACATCATGCAATGTCAAAAATCTGAGAAAAGGGCTGGAGAGATGGCTCAGTGGTTAAGAGCATTGCCTGCTCTTCCAAAGGTCCTGAGTTCAATTCCCAGCAACCACATGGTGGCTCACAACCATCTGTAATGAGGTCTGATGACCTCTTCTGGCCTGCAGACATACACACAGACAGAATATTGTATGCATAATAAATAAATATTAAAAAAAATCTGAGAAAAGAGTAGAAGCGGGTAGATTGTTTTCAAGCTTTTTCTTTTTAGTTGTTTAGAAAATCAACTGATACCCTGTCAGGGAGATATTTCAGAGCAGCTGGAGTTGAGAAGGTGGACATTCAGATGTCTGAGTGAAACCATATGGAAGGAAGAATAATTTATGACTTCAAATATATCTATTATTAGAAACACAAAAATAGAATGGGAACTTGAGTGGGGAAGCAAATTCTAGGAATTCTGTATATTTGCTTACTCTGTCTTCTTCCCTATATTTTCTATCCCCCCCTCCCTTCTACTCCCCCTTTTCCTCCCTCCCTCTTCTCTCTGGCTATACTGTGCAAATTTCCTGTGATGTTCATATAAGCCCAGAAGCCTTCTTTCCCACCAGCTCTTAGTGTTATTGGCAACCAAACCAATACACAGTGCTTTATGCAGTGCCCATCCATGGCCAGGGCAAAGGGGATGATTCACCTCCCAGACGGGTCAGACAGGCCAGCCCATCCTATTGTGACCCTTGTCTGTGTGAGAGAAGCAGTCTCCACAGAGGTTATGGGTTCTACGGCAGGTAGACAGATGGAGGACAAATTGGAGGGACCCTAGAATACATGAAGTGACAAAAGTGGTCTGCATTTGATCCATAGTAGCAGTAGCTCAGCATTGCAGGTGTGCAGCACAGGACTAGCTCATTGTGGCAGAAAGCTTAAGAGAGAAAGGAAGAAAAAGAGAGAGAGCATGTGAAGGAGGGGTGTGTGTGTGTGTGTGTGTGTGTGTGTGTGTGTGTATCAAGATAATAATCTGTTCCTGAGAAGTGTTCAAATGACAACTGCTTAAGGCATAGAAACAACTAGAACTATGAAGTGGTCACTTGTCAAATAATGCATCTCAAGGGAAGACAGGGAGATGAATTAGAGCAAGCCTTCAAGTTTGGCCCTAAACTCAAATCCAAGAACCCTGGGTTCTTAACTGGTTGGACAGGCTTCTTTGTCTCTGGGCCAAAAACTCACCACTACTTGGCTCATAGTCCACCAGTTCTGATGCTCCAAGGGCATCCTGGCCACTGACAGAGAACTGAGATGTCCTCCTATGACTTCCATTCTGCCCTGAACCATGGCTGGGCTTTTGCTCTGTCCATTCTTGACCTCTCCTTTTTCATTTGCCAGTCTCTGCAACAGCAGTGGACAAGTGAATCGGAGCTTTGGGGCAGAGGGAGAAGTCTACGGCTTCTCAAAGAATCTCTGAGAGTTTAGACTCAAACATGTGAAAAACTCCAAATGGACCCAGGCATACTGACAAGTACCACTAACAGGAACATGGCTCCAGGTATAGACGTTCCTGCAGATTGAAAAGGTCTTTTATTATAGGTTCAGTTTCTATTAGCTTGCTATGAGCAATGCTAGTTTTATTAATGAAGTAAGAAAGGCTTAACCTGTTTTTGAAAATGCTTTCCACAACAAAAGTTCCACTGGAAATTTTGCTGGTGGATATGTACATAAAATTCATTTGACACTTAAAGGGAAAAATTTAATGTGAGGTTTTACAGCTTCTGTTTTGAATACCAATTCTCAGTGTATGCGTTCGTTAAATTGTATAGACTTTGGGTCTGCTTGATTTTGGTGTGTGATATTTTTATTCACTATTAAGTTTTTAATAATAAATACTATAAATAAAAGTTCCTTTTAAAGAAGAATTTAAAAAGGAAGATAATCTGGTATGGGAGGTCCTTCTGTCTATGTGTTGCTTTTATTGGTTAATGAATAAAGAATGTGCCTTGGCCTGTTGATAGGGCAGAGCTTAGGTAGGCAGGGAAAACTGGACTGAAAGCTGGGAGAAGGAAGGCAGAGAGGGGACACCATGGATCCACTGCCGGAAATAGATGTGCTAAAACTTTGCTGATAGACCACAATGTCGTGGTGATATACAGATTAATAGAAATGGGTTAAATTAAGATGTAAGAGTTAGGCAATAAGAAACTAGAACTAATGGACCAAACAGTGATTTAATTAATACAGTTTCTGTGTGATTGTTTCAGTACTGGGCAGCTGGGATGAACAAGCAGTTCCTTGCTACAAGAATCAACTAAAGCCTTTAATCCCAGCACTCAGGAGGCAGAGGCATGCGGATCTCTGTGAGTTTGAGACCAGCCTGGTCTACAGAGCTAGTTCCATGACAGGCTCCAAAGGCGCAGAGAAACCCTGTCTCGAAAAACCAACAAAAAAAAAAAAAATCAACTAAAACAATGTATGAAAACTTCTTAAGGAAATAAGTTATTTCACAAGCTAGTTTAAAGCAAAGATTTAATTTAGTTGATAAATCAAGATGTGTTTTATGCTGTACTATGCAAGGTTTTCTGTGTAGATATTATAAAACAATTGAATGGAGTTATGTGTTTATCCATCATCTCCCTGGAGTACTGTCTGTAGTAAGTACAGTAATACCTTTCCCAATGACTTCAGGCAGATGATACATTGATGGGTTAGTGACCTTTGTGCTGCTGTGCCAAAGTATTCACAGTTGTAGCTTAAGGGGGAAAGGGTTGCTGTACTCAGTTTCAGAGGGTTCAATCCATCATGCCAGGGAGGGTCTTTCTGTCAGAGCAGCTTCACAGTATCAGGTGAACAGGGTGAAACTGGATGCAGAGAACTAGACCAGAATAGAGTCAAACTATTCATTATCTTTAAAGGTCTCCACCTGTAGCCCTGCTTCTGACAGCCAAACTCCATATCCTAAGAGCTCAACTCTACAACCTTCAAAATAGGACTGTAGACAGGTATTTCTGTCCTGCCTGGTCCCGCAGCTGTTCAGTCCCAAAGAAACACACAGAGGCTTTAACTCATTATAAACTGTTTGACCTATTAGCTCAGGCTTATTACTAACTAGCTCTTATAACTTAACTTGACCCATAATTCTTGCCTATGTTTAGCCAGATGGCTTGGTAACTTTTCTCAGTAAGGCATTCTTATCTTGTTTCCTCTGTGTCTGGCTGGTGACTGACTCTCTGCCTTCCCTCTTCCCAGTCTGGTTGCCCTGCCTGAACTTCCTCCTGGCTACTGGCCAATCCGAATTTTATTAAACTGAGTGACAAATCTTTACAGTGTACAAGAGCATTATCCCACAGCATAGAACAAGCTGGGAGCTGGATGTTCAAAACACAAGCCTGTGGGGACACTCCAGATTCAGCCACAGCAACAATCAATGCATTCTGCAGGCAGTCAATATGTCTCTGAAACTTATTCCTGTTACTTAATGAATCCTTTAAACCTTTGGCCTGCATCTCTCCAGTCCGTTCCAGCCTCCAATACCATCATTCTATTTTCTGCTCCTGTTAATTTGTGGAGTATGGGTGATTTTTGTTGTAGATGCTACTGTTTGCTTGTTTGTATAAATGAGATCACCTGATGTTTGGTCTTGGGCTGTCTTTTTCATTAGCAGCTTCACTAAGTTGCCATAATGACAGAATTTTCTTCTATTTTAAGGGTTGACTAGCATCCCAGTATATGTCTGTATTTGTATATAAGCGCGTGTCTGTTTTTCTGGATTTTCTCTATCCATTCATCTATTGATGGACTAGACCTGGGCTGACCTTTGTTTTGGCTCTAATGACGATTGCCTCAATGAACAAAAGGTAAATATGTCTCTTAACATAGCGATCTCATTTCCTCTTGAAGTGAGCTCAGTAATGAGATTGCTGGAACACATGCAAATTCTATTTTATTATTCAGGGAACCTCCAGACTGTTTTCCATAACGACTGTGCTAATTTCCATTCCCATCAACACTGTACAACAGTTCCCTGTACAAGGAAATTGAAAGAGCTGGTAGTTACAAGCTCACACTTGTAAGCAACAACAAGTGCCACAGGACTGTGTTTACACACACAGAGACTCATGCAATTGCAACATTTCACAACTGAGGTGGGGGGACACATTTATTCAGACTGCAACACTGTCAAAATCACATCTTTTTTTCTCTTAATATTCTTGTGCACACACAATGTTCTTTTGTTTTATGAATGTAGTTTATTAAATTTTGTGTGTGTATGTGCACGTGCGTGCATGATGTGTGTACTCTCACACATATCAAGGACAGTGCACAACTTTCAGGAGTCTATTTTCATATTCCACCGTGTTAAAGCAGGGTATCTCTTTTTTTCTGCTGATATGTTGTATACTCCAGGTTAGCTGACCCTCAAGCTTTAGGTGACTTATCCGGACTGCCTCCCTTCTTACTGTATGAGTACCAGAATTATAGATTGCAGATTCATGTCACATCATCAGCTATTTATTTATTTATTTCTATCTACTTATTTTAGTTTTTTTGAGACTGGGTTTCTCTGCAGCTTTGGAGCCTGTCCTGGAACTAGCTCTTGTAGATCAGGCTGGCCTCCACCTCACAGAGATCCACCTGACTCTGCCTCATGAGTGCTGGGATTAAAGGCCGGTGCCACCGCTGTCTAGCTCATCAGTTTTTTATGGGCCCCAGGGGTCAAACTTGGCTTGTCAAGCTTGAGCAGCTAGCACTTTACCCACTAATCCACCTTCCCAGCTCATTCATTCTTGCCCACATCTAGACAGGTCTCATGGAGGCCAAAACTCACTACGCAGTCGAGGATGACCTTGAACTTCTGATCTCCTACCTTAACCTCCCAAGTGCTGGGATTAAAAGAGTGCAACAACATTCTCTTCTTTCTAGGCACAGAGTGGAATCCAGGATTTAATGCATGCTAGACAATATTCGAAGTACATCCCTAGCCTCATGCAATATTCACCTTCTTCCGCCCCACCCTGCCCACCTTCTACTGGTCCTCTTCCTCCTTCCAAATAGTTCCCTCTCTGTTTTTAAATCCTAAATTAATTAAAGTACAAAGTGATCTCTTTTGCTACCAGGGTAATAAGTGTAACTTACTTTTCAATAAATTATCATTCTCCATTTTCTAAATAACACTATTAATTGCCAAAATATCCAGTAGGTAGTCTTAAAGGAGCAAATCCATTCTTTTCACTTTAACAAAATGCTTACTGCTGCTTTCTTATTTCACTGGGTGCTGGAAGAAAAGGTAGTCTCTGTTAATCGACCTAAGTACTAAGAAAAAGAAAAAGGTGTCCTTTAAAAGATCCTTTAGTGCACATCACTGAGTCAATGGCCTAGAAAAACTGAAATTAATAGTGATTGAATGCTTTACAGAAATAATTTGGTGTTTTGATTTCCTTTCATTGCAGTTTCTAGATATTGTTCTAGTACATCATAGGTCTGCTTCAGACTCTTGAGAAGTATCCAAACACATAACTTAAAGAATAACAACTAAAGAGGATACAGGGGTCTGAAAGGAAATCAGTAGGGAAGGCCTGTGTTGAAAAAGAAATTCTAGACAACACACAGTTTCCATTCTTCCTCAACTTCCCCAAATCTGAAGGTCGAGGACAAGGACGTGAAGAGGAGGGAAGACGTGACACTAGGGAGGGACGGTTCCTTTCTGGCTTCAGCTACAGAGGAGTCTAAAGTCCACCAGATGGTTGAAGAGGAGGAACTGGGCCAGCAGGGTGGAGGCACAGTCTGGTTCCTAAGAAGTCTGGCTACTGGTGGGGGCCAGAGCAGGAAGCCAAGGGGATCTCCTTAGCAACCATTGACTTTGAAAATGCTTGTGTTGTTTACCTGTGTTTGGTGTGTCTGAACCAATGCAATCAGGGTAACTCGAGGAGGAGGAAGGATGTTGTGGAAGAGGAGGCGGCATTGGAGTTCCACCCCATCCTGCCCTTGCCTTCATTCCATCCAACATTGATTCTTTTACTCTGAAATGATTCCTAAGTAGGAGAATATGGTGCTGTGGAAACAAAAGTGGAAGATTCTAAGACTGGAAAATGATGTAAAAAGAAATCCAGAAGTATCCCTATATGTGTGAGATATCTTTAATAATCCATAAAGAGCAACTACCTGCGAAATGTGGTTATAGAAGGCACACATAGAGCCACATGGTGAAAGAACACATCTGTCTCTGCTAGATATGTGCCAATTTCTTTCTTCAGCCATTACCGCTGTGGCATTTATAGGCAGAATAGCATTTCTTCCTTCTGTGAGAGACAAATGTGTTGATTTGTTCCTTCCTTCATTCAACACGTGCTCACGGATTGCCTGGACTGTGTTGGTAGTTTCAGGGAAGCAGCTATGAATAACAAAGTCCTCACTGTTCAAAGCACTTGGAGTCCAGTGCAGAAAACTTGCCAAAGCCCAAGGTAAGCAGATGCAGTGAGCACCAGGCTTACACAACTCGCTAACTGGTCCTTAGGAGGAAACAGAGAGGTGTCTGTGGTGGTGATGAGCCCTTTCTAAAAGGGCTCTCCAGGAGGCCCTCAAGGTGAAGGTGACCTTGATTAAGGCCTTAAGGCAAGGAGGCAGGGTGTGGGAGAGTAGTGCTTCGTTGTTGGAAAGTGCGGGTCGAGAGGCTGGGAAGCCTTTGTCTGGGTCTCAGGGAAGAGCAGGGACTGAGGGTCTTACGTGAGTAACCCGGCCAGCCAAGTGGGTAGTGGATAGGGAAGCTGTTTGCCTTATAAATGTGAAGGACAGCTTTCACTCTGCGGGAACATGGACAAGGCCCTGAATTTATGTTAACAAACAAAACAAAACAAACTTTTGCATGTGTGTGTGTGCGCGTTTTCATTTATGTGTAGGTTCATGTGTGGGAAGGCTACCTCTGTTGTGTCATGCAAACTTTGTTTGTATTCAGAGAGTCTCTCTGGCTTAAAGTTCACCCATTTGGCTAGGCTAGCTGGCCAGAGAACCCCAAGGATCCATCTATTTAAGGTTGCCAGAGTTGGCATTACAAGCTTATGTCTATGCTCACCCTTTTTACACAGTGCTGGGGCTAGAACTCAAGTCCTCATGTTTGCCAAGCAAGCACTTTACTGCGCTATCACTTTAATCTCCAAGTTACTTTTCAATAGATGCATGCTGACATCTGTGTTGAAGATACACGGCAGGAAGGCAGAGGGTACAGGGACTAGAAAGGAAGCTGTTACCTAGACGGGGCACTAACACTCGTACAGCCCAGGTGGTATTAAGGTGACTGATTAGCAGACCAGAATACTCCAGAAGGATGTCCTCTTGGTCTTAGATGTCAGGACTTTACAAGTACACCCGAGGCTTTGGCCTGTACATCTGGAATAATAGAGACACCAGAAGGGAGATGAAGAAGCCTGAAGAAAGGTGTATGCATGAGGTATGAAGATATATAAGCTTAGGTATGATTCTCACAGGTGGGAGGAGTTAATACCGAAAACATACTGAGAGGATTGGAGCAAAACAGAGAAGCTGTGTCTCATGAGGTGCAGCCAGCTGTCATGGGCACCCTTTGGGAGTCAAGTGCCCCTTTCACAGGGGTCACATGTCAGAGATCCTGCATATCAGATATTTACATTAGGATTCATAACAGTAGCAAAACTGCAGTTATGAAGTAGCAAGGAAAGTAATTTTATGGATGGGTCACCACGACATGAGGAACTGTATTAAAGTGTCGCAGCATTAGGAAGGTTGAGAAGCACTGTTTTAGAATGTTGTCTACTTTAGAAGGGCGTGCTTTAAAATTCCCGGAGCTTCACCTTGAGCCTTGAGTTGCAGAAACGTCTGTGGGGAGAAGTGCTTGGAGCCTGACACACCCTGCCTCCAAAACAAACACACTGCCTTTGGAAGGTCCAGGTAATTCCACTCCATTTTCTTTTTTTTTAAATATTTATTTATTTATTATATTATGTGTATAGCATTCCTTCCACGTGTGCCTGCAAGCCAGAAGGGGGCGCCAGATCTCATTATAGATGGCTGTAAGCCACCATGTGGTTGCTGGAAATTGAACTCAGGACCTCTGGAAGAGCAGTCAGTGCTCTTAACCTCTGAGCCATCTCTCCAGCCCTCCACTCCATTTTCAAGACACCCAGTAGTATCTCCTCCTCCCTTTTAGAATGATGCTCAGCAACCATCCATTAGCAGGTCATTAGATTGATACTCCTACTGCTGAATTTAGAGCTCATCAGAAAACTCTAGAGGCCCTGTTAAAATATGTATTTTCCTGGCTGATTTCCCAGAAGTTGGAAGGTGGAGGGAGGGACCTGAAGATGGCCAACTTCTGTTGACCACGGGAGTTTAGGAATTGCTCAATCAATTCTGGAAGGCAGAGATCAGACCTCATCCATCCTGGTCTACACTGGATTGTCTTTCTTCTAAATGTTTGATACTTAGGGAGTGAGTTGGAAGACCCAAATATCACGTGCTTCCATCTCTTTTCTATGGTTGAACTACAAGTAAAAAGACAAGGAAAAGTTACACTCCTTGTATTGTTTTTTGTTTCTCTTTTTTCTATGTATTCACCATGTAGCATTTGCACAGGAAAGAGGCCCAGGGCTGCCACCCCTTCTGAGGGGCCATCCAGTTTGGCTGCTTATGCGGTTTTATTCTTGGGGTGGCTGCTGAAGGAACCTGCAGGAAGTGGATCTCCAAAACAGCTAACAATCAACACAAGACTGCATACTCCTTTTTTTGCGTTTGTAGTTTCTAGTAGAACCTTCAGGGTTCTGGTGAACAAAGCAAGACGAGGGCTTTCATTGGATGGGAACTGTGTCTCGTTATACCTGCTAAACCTTTCTTGTTGCACCTTCTAGGGTTTCTTTTGGATTATTCAGAACCCAGGCCTGCCTGCTGAGGGTGTGGCCTTCCGACATTCTTCTATAAACAGTTTCTTCTCTACAGTCAGTGACACAACTTGATCTATTCACATATCTTCTTGATTTCGGAATGGAGGTGGAAAATGGGGAATCCTGTGGATTCTGGACCCTGCACAAAAAGGCTGAATCTGACTGGAAGCAAGTCGCGTGCCTCTGCTGCTGCACAGACCTCTGGGCTTCCTCAACCGCCACCCTAACAGCTAGAGCAGGTTGGGTGATGGGCCCACCACGAGTCTCGGCGCCCACGTGGTGGGCCCGCCAGCTCCACGCCCACTAGCGGAAGCATACCCACATCTGCATTGCCATCCACTTATGGGCTCCATACCGGGCAATGATCCCTCCATACCTCTTTTGAGATGGTGCCACACATCTGATTCCACCTTTCAAGGCCTGCAGCGCCGCATCCCTAAGACTATGTCCTCCTTGCCCATCCGGCTGCTGGCTGGAGTCTTAGACCCAACAGGCCCCGCCCTTGCCAGAGTCCCGCCTCCCGTCACCGCCCATTGGCCCTCGGGCGGGGCGTGGGCGGCTCCCGAGAGTGCAGGCGGGGCAGCGGTTCCAAGGCTCGGGCGCGTGGGCCAGGTCTTCACTGCTTGCTGGAGCACCGGAGCCGGAGCTGTCCGGCATCTCTCGATCTTCTAGCCATGGGCGACGTGGACTCCTCTTCGGCCTCCAGCGGCTCCTTTCCCAAGTACCTGGAGCACCTCTCTGGGGATGGCAAAGCCATCGGTGTCCTGACCAGCGGCGGGGATGCCCAAGGTGCGCGCCTACCGGCTCTCTAGCCTGCCTCCCGGGCAAGGGGCGGGAGGGGAGGGCTATCGGAGAGGGCTGTAGAAGAGGATAATCGGGGTGAGAAGAGAGGGAGAGCTAGAGAGAAACGTTGGGTGATGTGAATCTGGGAGAAAGGATGAGACAAGGGTGAAAATGACGGTGAGATTCTAGGCGAACTGGTGGCCCAGAGCCGGAAGAGGCAGCCCTAAGCTAGGAACAACTAGGGTGCTTGAGGGGCGACCATAGAGGGTGGAGCTCCATTGCCAGATGAGGTGCAGAGGATGAGGAGTATGGTTGTAAAATCCTTTATTCGCAAGATGAAAAAATTTTTCATCCACAGGTTTATTAAATGAGTTAGCCAATGCAGTTGTCTAGTGTCTGAGTCATAAGATAGAGCCAGGAGTTTTTTCGGGAAATTAGGTACATGGCGACTATTTGGATGGCATAGCGCTAGCCCCACCCCAATCCTTGGGCAGCGTAGAAAAAACAGCGGGGTTCCCGCAGCGCCTCCTGTCCAGTCCCGCCTCCCACGCGATTTAGGCAGCTTCCCCGCTGCTGCATTGCGGGAAGCACGGACCGGGACGCGCAGTGGTCTCTCCGGGTGTGGCGTTGACAGTCGGGGGGCGCCTCGTGTTTTTCACTACGGAGATTCTTTAAAAGGTTTTCTGTCGCCTTCCTGCTCGTAACAAAACTGAAAACTAAAATGGGTTTCTAGGCCCTTCCCGCCAGCCTCCCCAGGACGGGAAAGACCAGGAAGCGGGGACTCCGAGACGTCACCGGTACTCTCTAGAGCACCGACTCCCGTCTTCCCTTTTCTCCCAATGGCGAGATTTCAGAGCTGTAGAGGCCCTTGGACTTGACAAACTAAGAGAATATTTAAAATGTAAAAGGATGGGGGTGACCACATCACGCCCCCGGTCTCTCTCCCTGGGTACACGTGAGGGCACTGGGGTTCCCAGACGGTGAGTTTTCCTATGCTAATTCCTTGATGGGAACACTCTAGGAGCTAGACCTACATTTCCATAGTGTACACCCTCTCCAAATCTTGAGATCAGCGCCGGCTGCAGACAGTTTCCTGAGCTGGGTTTTGCTTTTGCTTTTCCGTTTTTTCCTCTGCCATAGATGAGTCCAAATGACACGTTTTGTTTTCACAAAAGGGGAGGTTTTGGATTGGAGCCCGGTGTTCTTGCTTTCCGCCCACCCTTACAGAACAGATGACCTTCACTTTGCCCTTGAGCGGGGCGGGCCCAGCGCTGGTGCTCCCTCAGGTAGTGGCTTAGGGCACCGCCCCGCCCTGGCGTGGCTCAGGAGCCTACGTGATGCTCGACCCGTAGTCTTCGGCCTGCTTTAGGTCTCCCGCACCTGCTCGGCTCACTTTAAAGTAGCATCTGAGGCTCCGAGCATCTGGCTCCCAGACACCGGAAGCTAGGTCTGCCCAATGAGGGGCCCCCAGTGCTCTCCCTCCCATTATCTTAAAGGCACCAATGGCAACGTCAGTCACCCTAGGCACTGCTTTCCGCGGAGAGCAGGATTGCAGCAGTACTGCAATTTTATTGTATTTTATTGTACAATTTTTTTGTATTTTAGTAAGGAGATCCTCGGTACAAACCTTTCTTCATGAAGGGCAGGTTTCCCAGAGACACAGAACGCCGTGATACATCGGAGGCTGGAAAAACAGCTCAGTGAAATGTGAGATAACATCACCAGAGTTACCCCAAATTTAACGCCTTAAGATACCCATCTCTGGGGCAGGCAGTCATCTGTACCAGGGCACTCAGTAGTTTCCCATCTAAATGCAAGGGTTTCAAAAGTGCTTGCCTCCTTACACAGAACCGTGCTAAGGCGAAATAGGAAGTACTTTGGATCTTATCCTGGGCAGCCAGAAGGAGAAACTGCCACTACAGGAAGAGGCTTACCGCCACTAGGGCAGCAAGGTGAAGTGGTGAAAGGTTTTATTTTAGAATCAACGTCCTGTTTGATTAGAAAACCAGTATTGATGGCTTATCCCTTTGACGTCCCTGGCCAAAGACGTTTCCTGAAATATTTAGCCTCTGTGCAATGGTCTGAGATTCTTGGATACTTGGCGGAAACTTCATTTTCTTTTCTGCTTATCTTGGATATTCCACAGGTGAGAAGTGAGGAATCTGATTTTTAAATTCTTTTGCTGTCTCTTCGGTGCAACAAGGATACTTTCAAAACCAAAATTGCATTTGAACGTCGCTGGGTTAGTATGGTATCAGGTTCATGGAAGGTGGTTGCTCTCGGCTTAGTAGCGGGCACCAACTGTGTCCTGTCACACCTGAGCTGTTTCGTCAGAGCCAGTTGTATGGGTACTCAGCCTGGTTTTTCTTAGAACTTGTATAAACAGTCATGCTTTGTCGTGATACTGTATTGGACCTGTTTGAGTGGGTGCATGCATTTTTTTTTCCTGGAAAAGCTTCTTGAGATGCTCAGAGGACCTGGACTTAGCAGTGTCACTACCCCTGGGACGGATGGTGTTTATTGTACTCTTATTCTTCCACAACTCCATCTTGACTTCATCAGTACCTGATTTTTCCTGAAAGAGCGGTTTGTTCATAGCCAGAGGTCAGATGCAAATTTAAATCTTACACTAACAGAATGATAGTATAATTGAATGCTGGAATGGCATAGTTGGTACAGTACATGTTCTATACATCTTATGTGCCAAAGTCTTGTAGTTCTCATCTATCTTCCTAATGACAAGGCTACAAGATACTGAGTTCTTCATTTTGGAGATAGGGAGAAAGACTCACAAGAAATAAGTAACTTACGCAAGACCATAAGGCATGTACCTGGTGGTAGCAGGATTTCAATGATGCTTTATGAAATCTTGTCTCCAAAACCTCTTTACTGGACCATGTCTTCATGGCATCTCTCTCTATAAGACTGGTTGAGTCATCACTGCTCAAAAGTGAATGGAGCCCAGCTTTCTCAAATGTATATAGAGCCTTTTTGGACTACTTTGTCAGTGGAGCAGGTAAATGCCTTTTTTTTTTTACACTATTAGTAATAGCAAGGTGGCTTAAACCATGTGGCATAGCACTCAATACAAAAGTAGCATAAATTTTTTTTTTTTATTTATTATGTATACAACATTCCTTCCATGCCTGCCTGCATACCAGAAGAGGGCACCAGATCTCATTATAGATGGTTGTTAGCCACCATGTGGTTGCTGGGAATTGAACTCAGGACCTTCGGAAGAGCAGTCAATGCTCTTAACCTCTGAGCCATCTCTCCAGCCCCCAAATTTTCTTTTTCTAAAGAAATTTATATGTTTCATTCTAAAATGAAACTGAAAATTCAACCATTATTTTCACATTCGCCTAAAATGAACTCCACATTGCTAGACAGGCAAGTTGACTATGACTAAGTGCCCACATTCAGGCAGTATTACTTCCTGCACAAAAATGATAAATGGTTTTAGATACACTGTAACAGATTGCTGAGATGGCTTGCTGGGTAAATGTGCTCACTGCTAAACCCAGTGAGTTCAATCCCTGAGTCCCACATGGTGGAAGGAGAAAACTGACTCACGCGATTTGTCCTATGACTCACATGTGCGCCACAGCCTGCCCCCCCCCCCGTATACAAATAAATAAACTAATTAATGTGATAATTAAAAAGCTAGATTGTGACCTCTGTGGGTCTTGTGTATGGTTGCATTCAAATTAGTCAGAATCCATGGTCTGTGTTTAGGGTAGGTTCAGTTGTTTATTGCCTTTGGGAGACATCAACATTAATACAATATTTACCAAACACCTACTTAGATTTTATATGAATCTCTCCAAGGCTCTGTAAAAGTAACTAGTCATTAAAGACTGCTTGTTATGTGGTAGGCTGAGGTACTCTGGGTGCCAGGCTAATCTGATGCGTGAGCCACTGAAGATGCTCTGGTTTTTCTCAAGTTCGCAGAAGTGAGTGTCAGGGCCGGAACTTGTGGCTGTAGATGGGATGCAGATACACTGTGCTGTTGACAGTTTTCAGTGCAACTATAGCTCACAACATCCTGCATGGCAGGCAGCAAGCACTGAAGTAAGTGTTGACTGTCTCCCAACCTGGAATCACCAGTAAAGTGACAGGGAACAAATTTGCATTTAGGTGAATTAGGAGCACTAGGCGAATTAGACCCTTGCATATCAAAATTGCTCTGTCAGCCTTTGAGCATTAGGTACCAACCACTAGTAACTGTAAAGAGCCTGAAGATTGTGCTTAGAAGCCAGAGGCGCCCACAGACTTGGCCCAGGTGCTGAATTGGTTGCTCTATCTTATACATTCACTCTGCCCTCCGTATTTGTGGATTTCACATTTGCAAATGCTATCAAACATGGCTTGAACATATATTTCTAAGTGTAGCATGTACTAAAATATCCATGGACTTGTTTTGCTGTCATTATCCTCTAACCAATACAGCACAATAACCATTTGCCTTGTGCTAGCTGTGCTAAAATAAAATGCAGAGATGCTTCAAGGCTTATGGGAGGATGTGCTAAATTCTATAAAAACTTTTGTCAACTTTATACATGAACTTCCAAGTCTTTGGATTGGTTTCTGAAAGAATGGATACAAGAATCGATTCCAAGAAAATAACAAAGCAAGTCTGCGTCCATTGAATACCCAGATGAGAGCCCTGATTGGGCCCTTC